CTTTAGTCTCCAAGCTTAGTTGAAGAGGGAGGGTAATCGTCTGTAAAGATTACAGCCTTGGACACCCTATAGGGCAGTCCTTCTCTGTCCTATGGGTCTTCATGAGTCAGAATCATCTTAATGGCAACAGGTGTAGTTTTTTTGAACCTATCCTTGAGGCAACTTTTGTTTAGTAATACTAGTAAGGCTTAAATAACCATAAGGTATTCTATAATTTACTGTGTTACTTATTGATGATCCCCTATAATTTACTGTGTTACGTAATGTCTGTAACTGCCAATATAGCTGAAATTGCAGAACTTTATAAATAGCATGAACAATACAGAGAGGAACTAGTATGCAGTACAGAGGAACTTCAGCAGTTAGCCATGCCAACATTGTTTCCGGCTGACCCTTCAACTTTGACTATTGGAATCCCATGTTATTGGAATTCCATGCCTTTATTTTCAGGCCCTTACCTATTAAGGGAGCCCTGGTGGTATAACAGTTAAGTATTACGGCTGCTAACCAAAAGGTCAGCAGTTCAAATCCACCAGCTGCTCGAGTTCTACTCTGTCCTATAGGGTCACTATGGGTCGCAATCAACTAGAAGGCAAGGAGTAACCTATTAAGGAGAGGCCCTGGTGGTGAAGTGGTTAAGAGCTCCACTACCAACCAAAAGGTCAGCATTTCGAATCTACCAGATGCTCCTTGGAAACCCTATGGGATAGTTCTACTCTGTCCTATAGGCTTGCTGTGAGTTGGAACCCGCTTGCTGGCAACTGGTTTGGTTAAGCGCTTGGCTGCTAACTGAAAAGTTAGTGGTTCGAACCCACCAGCCCCTCTGTAGGAGTAAGATGTGACAGTCTGCTTCTGTAAAGATTACAGCCTTGAAAACCCTATGGGGCAGTTCTACTCTGTCCTATAAGGTCTTTAGGAGTCAGAATCAACTTAATGGCAACCGGTTTGGGTTTTTTGCACCTATTAAGGCAACTTTTCCTTAGTAATACTAGTAAGGCAAATTTTAATTTTTCCCACCTCTTATTTCCAGAAAATATTCAGAAAAGTGTCTCCTCTATTATAAACACAAAATAATCACATTTCCAGGAGGTATGGGTAATATTCCTGATTTCCTGGGTCCTACCTCAATTATCAAAGTTTCCCAACCTATTTTTGTAGGAATGTTTTATAATTGTGTAGGAGCTTCATAAAATATTTTCATGTCCTACTTCTCAACCTCTCAACAACATTATGAGACAGATTTGAGTTACGAAACCATTTTCCCAAGGAGGAAACTGAGGTTCACAAAGGATAAGTAACTAGCCTAAGTTCATAAATTTAGTAAATACAGATTCTAAAGTATAGACACAGAACTTCTGATTTAAAATTTTGAGTACTATATCCTCTAGCATGTATCTGCACATTTCTGAGTGCAGTGTGCATGGACAGGGATTATTTTAATATAACACTCAGAAAGTAGTGTTCGCATCCTCAGTCTATGTATGTCCCACTAGTTAATAAAGAATATCATTTTAAAGAGAATATGTACTCTGCTTTGTTCTTAAACATGCAACCTGGATACCATAAATTGTATTTGGATTTAAGGCACATCAGTTCTCTGTGTCAGGGCAGTTTGCATGGTTCTCATATTTGTACTGCTAGAAAATATGGTCAGAATTTAGACTTAATTTATGTCAATAGAGTGGTCTGAACTTAGGAGTTTTTATAATTATCATGTACGTGGTCTTGAAAATGCAATATAGAACAGCTCTCTAACCATCTTTGTACAGGGCATAATATCCTAGAGAGTTACTGTAATCATCATTAACACAATAAACAAGCTTCAGCTGAGGTAGTCGAGCACGTAAATGTATGGCCAGGAAATACTATAAATAACTTTTTTTTATGCTTCATATCCTATTCCTCACTGTTAGACCCAAAAATATACACACCAGTATTTTACTTATGCTGTCATGTATTCATCCAGAATACTATTAAATGTCTCCTTGCCCTTAGGTTACCGGAGGGTAAATAAAGACATGTTATACGGTATTAGGAACAAAAGAGCTAAATTCTGGGAAAAACACTAAAGATGCATGGAAAAACTCTGTCATTGCTCCAAGTGATAAAGTAAGAGAACTGAAGGAAAAAACGCTCACTTAGCTTTTAGAGAGTATAAAAACTATTTTGAAACTGAGAAGAATTTGTAACTATTGCCTCTCCAAGGTAAGGAATCCCACCCTACATGAGATCAATGGTCTATTTGTTCCTTGGTTCCATGGAGCATATTGAGGGAGAGGGTGGATGCACATCCTGATTTCCCTGGTTCACCCTTGAACTTATTTATGGACTCATCCTGGATAAGTGTACCGATTACGTAGAGTAACACTTGTTTTGAGACATCCTCAAATGGACTACTTTTAAGGTTTAAGAAATTCACTCTAATTCTATGATTATATGTTGCAATACATAAATCTTTATTTGTGTAGATCATTACAGTTTTCAAGGCTACCCCCATGACTTTCTTTTCTTTTTTTTTCCATGAGAGATGGAAAAATCTCTTTGGAAAACTCACTGAGAGAAAGAGAATCAAGATGTTCAAGTATGGTTATGGGAAAAAACTTAGCAATGGAGTAAAAGAATGTTTCTAAATATATACACTTTGTGTTACACCAGATTTCTCCACGCCAACCCCTACAGACTCATACAACAGGCCTTACGTGAGAGAGGGAAAAAAAAAAAATACCTGGAACAGTGAATTCACTAAAATATTGGTAAGATACTGAAAACATCAAACTCCACTGTGTAGGCGACTAATAGTAAAGTTCAAGATGAAGAGTGTTATTGAAATACCAAGATCAGTGGCCTGGACAGTGAACAGGATCACCATATGGGGCAGAAACAGAACAGTTAGGTGGAGAAAGAGTGGGGAGATTCTCTTTCTTGTCCTTTGTTCTTCCTTTTTCTTTTCTTCCCACTTTCTTAAAGTGACTTTGTCCTCTAGCTTTTATTCTTCCGTTATTTATTTGTTCAGTCAACAAAGTATTACTGAATGCCTACTAAGTATCAGGTACTTTGTTAACTTCAGGGTATATGCAGATGAAAAAATGTATACGCCTTAACTTTAAGGGAACTCACAGTGAAATAGGAAAATTTCTATTCCAGCCATGAAATTATGTTTAAGATTCCAACCATAGCATCCACCATAATGGTGGCAACAATGTTTACAAACTGAAATTCACATTTAATTGTCCTGTAGTTGTCAAATATTCCTACCACCACCACCACAAAACACCAAAAAACTGGTTAGAGCAAGTTCACAGAAGCATTGTGAAGGAGTCTCAGCACTGAAACAAGACTTTATAAACAACCTAGAGGAATCACTCACACTGGCCAGGAATTTTCTTCAAAATTCACCTCAGTCCCACCAAGGCGTCTCACACCTATCTCCTCCAGGTGCCAGGCCAGGGCATTAAATGAATAGATTTGATCCCTGTTCGCTCTCATTGTCACTGGGGGAAGTTGGGGCGTAAATGTGATACCTACTATAATAAAGTTACGTATAAAGTGCTACAAGGAACTCTGGTGGCACAACAGTTAAGCACTCTGCTGCTAACCATAAGGTTGGCAGCTTGAACCCACCCAGCAGTTCCACTGGAGAAAGACCTGGCAATCTGCTCCCATAAAGATTACAGCCTGAAAACCCTATGGGACTATGGGACAGTTTTACTCCATCGCGTGGGGTCACTATGAGTTGAAATCTACTCAAGGGCACCCAACAACAACAACGTAAAGTACTACACAGCCCCTGGGTGGCGAAAACGGATTACGCTCACCTACAAACCAAAAGCTGGCAGTTTGAATCCACTCAACAGCACCGTGGAAGAAAGTCCTAACAATTTGCTCCCTAAGATTACAGACATTGAAAACCCTATGTGTAGTTCTACTCTGAAACATGTGGGGTCGCCATGAGTCAGAATCAGCTTTACTACAATGGGTATAAAGTGCCACAGGGATTGAGATGGCAAAGTTATGATTCTCCTTAACATGGGAAGAGGGGTCAGGGAATGTTATTTTTAATAAGTTTTATTTATGTTTGTGTGCTCCCAAAGCACTGTACCTCAACACTATTTCTCTTATGGCGAGTATCTGCAGGAGATATCAGGAGATAACCACCTTTGCAATACAGTTTACATTTTCAAATTTATTTAAGTTAATCAGGTCAATTTTTAATTAAGTTATCCTCTTTGACCTAAAAAAAAAAAAACGCTAAGTTGTACTTTTATAGGTCTCATGGGGTTTTACCAGAGACCCCATAGCTAAAAAGGGATAGTATAACACCCTTCCATTATGAAGTTCCAAGCACTAGATATAGCTATAAAAGTCTTATTAAGTGGTGCTAAACTGGAACTTCCAACATTTACTTCTTCCATCTACTTGTTGCCTGTGAAAGAGAAGTCTAGAAATTCATTAAAAGGGAAAATTTCTTAAAAGGGGTTATGGAAGATAAGGGAGCTCTGTGGTTTTTTAACTCCCTCTCAATGAGGGAGAGAAGGAGGTGCCTTCATCTTTTCTTACATCAAGCTATGCGGGCTTCCAGAGAAAGTATAGGACCTTTCCAGAAGCAAAGGTTGGCCGACACTTTCTGACTGCATGTCTTCCAAGCTGTGGATTTCCAATCTGGAAAGGAGTTCAGAGCTGACCTGTGTGCCCTGAATTATTTGGGTGTATGGAGGCTAGAGCCTGACTCTTACCTGAAGAAGTGTGAAGGCTGTTGTTCACAATAGCAAAAAGATGGGAACAACTTAGATGCTCATCAACAGATGAATGGATAAACAAACTATAGTATATACACACAATGTAGTACTATGCAATGGTAAAGAACAAGGATGAATCTGCGAAGCATCTCACAACATGGGTGAATCTGGAGGGCATTATGCTGAGTGAAATAAGTCAATCACAAAAGGACAAATATTATATAAGACCACTACTATAAAAAATCATGAAAAGGCTTACACACAGTGCTCACATCAGCAGCACATACACCAAAAATTAGCAGGATACAGAGAAGATTAGCATGGCCCCTGCACAACGATAACAGGAAAATTCGTGAAGCATTCCATATTTTTCAATCAATAAAGAGCAGGAGTGGCAATATTAATCTCTGACAAAATAGACATTAAAGCAAAATCCACTACAAAGGATAAAGAAGGACACTATATAATGATTAAAGGTGCAATACACCAGGAGGACATAACCATAATAAATATTTATGCACCCAACAACAGGGCCCCAAAATACATAAAACAAACTCTAATAGCATTGAAAAGAGAAATAGCTCCACAGTAATAGTAGGAGACTTCAACACACCACTCTCGGTGAAGGACAGAACATCCAGAAAGAAGCTCAATAAAGACACGGAAGATCTAAATGCCACAATCAACCAACTTGATCTCATAGACATATACAGAACAGTTGACACAACAGCAGCCAAGTATACTCTCTTTTCCAAAGTACATGGACAATTCTACAGACTAGACCACATATTATGCCGTAAAGAAAGCCTTAACAAAATCCAAAACATCAAAATATTACAAAACAACTTTACTGACCATAGAGCCATAAAAGTAGAAATCAATAACAGAAAAAGCAAGGGAAAAAAAATCAAATACATGGAAACTGAACAACAGCTTGCTCAAAAACTACTGGGTTGCAGAAGAAATTAAGGATGGAATAAAGAAATTCACAGAATCAAATGAGAATGACAATACATCCTACCACAACCTTTGGGACGCAGCAAAAGCAGTGTTCAGAGGTCAATTTACAGCAATAAATGCACACATCCAAAAAGAAGAAAGAGCCATAATCAAAACATTAACCCTACAGCTCAAACAAGTAGAAAGAGAGTAGCAAAAGAAGCCTTCAGGCACCAAAAGAAAGGACATAATAAGAATTAGGGCAGAATTAAATGAAAGGGAATAGAAAAACAATTGAAAAAGTTAACAAGACCAAAAGCTGGTTCTTTGAAAAGATCAACAAAATCAATAAACCATTGGCCAAACTGACAAAATAAAAACAGGAGAGGAATCAAATAACCCAAATAAGAAATGAGATGGGCGATATCCCAACAGACCCAACTGAAATTAAAAGTATCATAACAGAATACTATGAAAAATTGTACTCTAACAAATTTGAAAACCTAGAGGAAATGGACAAATTTCTAGAAACACATACCTAAACTAACACAAACAGAGGTAGAACAACTAAATAAACCTATAACAAAAGAAGATACTGTAAAGGTAATTAAAAAACTCCTAACAAAAAAAGGCCCTGACCCTGACAGCTTCACTGGAGAATTCTACCAAATTTTCAGAGAAGAGTTGACACTACTATGAAAGGTATTTCAGAGAATAGAAAAGGATAGAATACTCCCAAACTCATTCTATGAAGCCAGCATAACCCTGATACCAAAACCCAGTAAAGACACCACAAAAAAAGAAAATTACAGACCAATATCCCTCATGCAGAAACCCTGGTGGTGTAGTGGTTAAGAGCTAAGGCTGCTAACCAAAAGGTCAGCCATTCAGATTCACCAGGCGCTCCTTGGAAACCTTATGGGGCAGTTCTACTCTGTCCTGTAGGGTTACTATGAGTCAGAATTGACTCGAAGGCAACAGGTTTTTTTTTTTTTTTTTTAATCCCTCATGAACATTGATGCAAAAATCCTCAACAAAATTCTACCCAATAGATTCAACAACATATCAAAAAAATAATCCACCATGACCAAGTGAGATTCATATCAGGTATGCAGGGATGGTTCAACGTTAGAAATACAATCAACGTAATCCATCACATAAATAAAACAAAAGTCAAGAACTACATGATCTTACCAATGAGAGGGGAACTCACTAACTAGATAGTAGATAAAGAATTATCTTAAGTGAACGGAAGGACAACACACAATACAGGAGAAGTCAGCACCATTGGAATAAACCAAAAGCTAAGAAGTTTCCTGAACACAATCAAATGCTTTGAGGGACTGTGTAGCAGGGGCAGGGGGTTGGGGACCATGGTTTCAGGGGACATGTAGGTCAACTGGCATAACAAAGTTTTTTAAGAAAATGTTCCGCATCTCACTTTGGTGAGTGGCATCTGGGATCGTAAAAGATAGTGAGCCGCCATCTAAGATGCAGCAATTGGTCCCAATCCACCTGGAGCAAAGCAGAATGAAGAACAACACCAAAGACACAGGGAAAATATTAGCCCAAGAGACAAAAGGGGCTAGAGAAACCAGAGATTCCATCAGCCTGAGACCAGAAGAACTAGATGGTGCCCAGCTACCACCAATGACCACCCTGACAGGGAACACAACAGAGAGTCCCCAACAGAGCAGGAGAAAAGTGGGGTGCATAACTCAAATTCTTGTAAAAAGGCCAGACTTAATGGTCTGACTGGAGGAACCCCAGAGGACATGGCCCCCAGACTCTCTGTTATCCCAGAACTAAAACCATTCCCAAAGCCAACTCTTCAGACAAAGAATAGGCTGGTCTATAAGACGTAAAATGATACTCTTGAAGAGTGTGCTTCTTAGCTCAGGTAGATACACAAAACTAATTGGGCAGCTCCCGTCTGGAGGTTAGATGTGACGGCAGAAAAGGATAGCAGCTGGTTGAATGGACACGGGAAATCTGGGGTGGAAAGGAGGAATGTGTGGTCAGATTATAGGGATAGCAACTAGGGTCACATAACAATGTGTATATAAATTTTTGAATGAGAAACTAACTTGAGTCATAAACTTTGACCTAAAGCCCAATTTAAAAAAAAAAAAGTTCCAGACCGAAGGGGGAAAAAAAATGGTTTACACACAAAATGAAGCAATCTTTGTTGCTTTGATGGTTACAAGGGATGGGAGGGATGGGAGGGGGAAATACTAAATAGACAATAGATAAGGGGTAACTTTGGTAAAGGGTAAGACAGTAAACAATACTGGGGAAGCCAGCACAACTTGTCCAAGGAAAGGTCATGGAAGCTCCATAGACACATACAAACTCCCTGAGGGACCGAGCTACTTGACTGAGGGCTGTGGGGACCATGGTCTCGGGGAACATCCTGTGATCATCCATCTAAGATAATCCACTGGTCTCACCCCTTCAGGAGCAAGGGAGAGTGGAGAAAACTAAAGGCACATGGGAAAGATTAGCCTTATGGACTAATGGACAACTACTACCATGGCCTCCACCAGACTGAGTCCAGTACAATTAGACAGTGCCCAGCTACCACCGCTGACTGTTCTGACAGAGATCACGATAGAAGATCCTGGACAGAGCTGGAGAAAAATGTAGAACAAAATTCTAACTCACAAAAAAAGACCAGACTTACTGGCCTGTCAGAGACTGTAGAAACCCCAAGAGTATGGCCCCCGGATGCCCTGTTAGCTCAGTAACGAAGTCAGAATGGAGGTTCACCCTTCAGCCAAAGATTGGACAGGTCCATAAAACAAAACAAGACTAAAGGGATACACCAGCCCATGGGCAAGGACGAGAAGGCAGGAAGGGACAAGAAAGCTGGTAATAGGCAACCCGAGATCTAGAAGAGAGAGTATTGACATGTCGTGGGGTTGTTAACCAATGTCATAAAACAATGTGTGTGCTAACTGTTTAATGAGAAGCTAGTTTGTCCAGTAAATTTTCATCTAAAGTACAATTAAAAAAAAAAAGACATTGACTAAAAATACAACCTAATCCTGTTTAAAAAAAAAAAAAAAAAACAGAAGTATGAAGGCTGGATCCTGGCTGGAGCAGCCTAGGAGAATGAGCAGAGTGGGAAGAGGTGGGCTGTCTTAGTTTGTTACAGTTGCCATAACAAAATACCACAAAATGGGTGGCTTAAAACAACACGAATTGTCTGACAGTTCTGGGGGCTAGAAGTCTGAATTCAGTGTGTCAGCAGGGTCCTGCTCTCTCCTTCTTTGCCTCTTCCAGGTTCTGGTAGCCCCAAGCATTCCTCGGCTTGCAGCTGCAGCATAACTCCATCTCTGCCTCTGTCTTCACATGGCTGTCTTCCCTCTGTCTGCCTTCTGTGTCACTTTTCCTCTTTTATAAGGACAGCACTCTGTGACTGAGTTAGGACCACCCTACACTAGGATGGCCTCATTTTAAATTAACTGATAATATCTTCTAATGTCCTATTTCCAAATAAGGTCATGTACACAGGTATTAGGGATTAGGACTTCAACATATCTTGCTGAGGGACCCAATTCATTCCATAACATAGACACAGCATGCTCTTTCAGAATCTGGTAGGCAAATATTCCTGATGTTTCTTACGAATCAGAGGGACATGGTGGAAGGAGGCTAAATAGAACCTGCTTGGAAGGACTCTGTCAAAGAGAGCTGTGCTCATAAGTGAGAATAAGGCAGGCATTTACAGCTAGGAACAGAAGCTGTGAAGGAATCACAGGGCCGTCTACAGAGTGCATCACCTGTGACAGAGGAGCTGCAGTGCTGAGTGGGAGTTCTTCCAATAACCAGCCCAGCAGCTGGACCGCTGTCATGTCAGAGCGCATCCAACACCAAGCGAGAAGTTCAATAGCATCAGCTACGTAAAGCAAGAACTTTGTCTCTTTTTATTCTAAGACCTCCCACACCCCTTATGTCCCAGCAGCCAGAAGACAGGACTTGGAGAAAGGAGTATAAAAAAACAAAAACTTCCACTTGAGATCTAAGCTACAACGAGTCCAAACTGGACGGGAAACGGAGATCTGACAGGCCCCTTGAGCCGGGTGAGAGGAAAATAACAAAGCTGTGTTCTGAGCATATCCTACTGAGACGGTTAAGGTTGTGTGTCAGCTTGGCTGGGCTATGATTCTCACTGGTTTGGCAGTTATGATGGAGTTTGACAATTACATAATGATGTAATTTGGCAGTTATGTAATGATGTAATCAACTCCATGACGAGATCTGTTACGAGCAGCCAATCAGTTGAAAGGGAGTTTCTTTGGGAGTGTGGCCTGCCTCCGGTATGTATATAAATGGGTGTTCAGCAAGGCCCTAGCTCTGGATCCTGCATCTGGCTCATCATCATCTGACCTCAAGTTCTTGGGACTTGAGCTAGCAGCTTACCTGCCAAT